GTGTATAAGAGATAGCTTTTACATCTTATTTATTTGTGGTTCACATAATAATTTTTGAACTTAATAATAAATTAATTTTTTAATGTTTAGATAATAAATTTATATTTTGTATCATTCACTCATTATATTCATTACAATAGTGATAATCGACGAAGAAATGTTTTAAACATAATGACTTCTTGCACCATGAACATCTTATATATATAATAAGATGTTCATGGTGCAAGAAGTCATTATGTTTGTGTATGTTATTTGTGATTTACATAATTTCTGAACTTAATAATAATTTTTTTAATGTTTAGATAATAAATTTATATTTTATATCATTCACTCATTATATTCATTACAATAATCGACGAAAAAATGTTTTAAACATAATGACTTCTTGCACCATGAACATCTTATTATATATAATAAGATGATGCAAGAAGTCATTATGTTTAAAATCTGATCTGTACCATTCACTGTGTTTCAAAGTATTCTATGTATTACTAATATTGTAAGAAATTATTGTTATTTATTATAAAATTAATTTTAGAAAATTTTATTAATTTAATTAATTTTAAAAAATAATTTATTAATTAACTACTCTGCAGATCAACAAATTATTAGGCTCTACAGATTAGGAATAAAACGCTTAATCTGATAGTGTGTTCCGATTGTGGGTGATCGGAGACACCCTGTGTGTGCGTGCTTGCGTGCGTGCATGTGTGTGTGTGTGTGTAAAATTGGTTTTATAGATTAGATATAGATTAGTTATTGTCAATATACAGAGTGGACCATTTTAATCCATCCAGTCGAATATCTCAAAAATCAAGCCCGGGAGAGAAAAATTTTTCAGACAAAAGTTGTAGGGTTTCGAGGGGGACATAAGATGATAACATTGGTTTGACCCCGAGTGGCGTCGTCAAGGTCAGGACAAGGTCACTTTGAATTTTTTAAATGGAACCCCCAATTTTTCATTACATGTTCTTATAGCACGCCTCGAGAACTTTCCAAAACACATAAATGAAATATTTTTTTATGAAATAAATCTTGAGTTATGAAGCTTGAAAGTTGGAGTACTGTCGGCATTAGCATCATCCAAGGTGTCCAAAA